CTGTGCACTGCAGACACTGCACACTGCAGACTCTATGCGCTGTGCACTGCAGACACTGCACACTGCAGACGTTGATTGCTGGAGCAGTCCACACTGTACCAGAGATATACTTTAAATTCCATATTGCAGACACACCGCACAACCCGCATTAAAAATCGATCTCTGGATCAGAGAAAACTCCAGTTTCAAACGAAATTCTTAAGAAAGCTTATGGAAACAGATCATTATCGGAAACCCGTTGTACAGCAGCTGATCCTCTCCGGGTTTACCGACTCCTACGACGCTGTGTGTGCAACCCTGCAGGCTGTGCCGGAGATTTCAAGGCTGTTACCTTATTTTCAGCTATTATGCACAGACAGCTGTGTGGAGTTAAACCCGTTGTGTGAAATGTTATCTTTCTATTGCATCACGGCAGCTTGTTTTTGTCCATTTAATTTTAAAATATTTAGTTTGCATATCAAATTATACAATGATTCAAAGTCATTGTTTTTTTTTATTTCCTGCATACATATTGCTTTCGCAGAGTGATGTAGGGAAAATTTTGGTGATGCTTCTTTTTGTTGTTTTGTTGGGCTGGACTCCACCGTAAAAGAGATTTTATAATAACAAAGCTTGAAAAAAATGAAAAACCACTGACGGCAACAGCGCCTTTAGCCTGGCCCGCCCTCTGGTGGCCGCAAGGAGAAACACAGCCGGACTCGCGCACTGTCACGGGACCCGCGGAAAAAAAAAGTGCTCGCTCTGCAGAGGGAGCGCGCCGCTGATCGTGCAAAGGGGAACGGGAGACACAGGTACTGTAATCGTACGCCGTGGCGTTTAAGTGTGATTTGTGTCATTTACATCAGACACCACACGCCAGGGGGAAGCGGTGCTTACGAGCGCTTGTCGCTTTATAGTCAGGTTCTACTGCATTCAAAGTCGTATACGTAGTAGAAATGCAAAGTGCTATGTAGTAATATGATGTATGTGATTTATAGCTTATTGGCTTTTCGACGAGACTTCATTCTCCACGATACAAGCTACAGACGATGCTCTCCTAGTTACGTCACAAGGCACAGCGGTTATGTCACAAACACCGGCCAGGGCACGTGGTGCGCCATGAGCGTCAGACCCAGCTAGCTGGTTCACCAGACCCGGGCTGCTCACAGCTCCGCAGAGTAGGAGAACAACGCCTTGCCGAGGTAATCTGTGGTTTTAACGCGGTTCTGTTAAATCTCCGGCCCCGAGCCCTGTTACAGTATTTCCCGTCGCTCTCCCGGGAACGGCTAGCGGTGTCCTTCACACGGCTCTGGTTAAGGTTGCAGTGAGTCTCTACGACTCGCTTGCTCTCAAGCAGCGGTTTCAGACGAGAGCTCCGGTGCGTCTGGCTTGGTGTTTTGGAGAGATACCGGTTTAGGCGGATCTGGGTCTGCAGTGTTGAACCAGCGGCTGCGAGTGGGACAGTGCTGCGTCTCTCTCCGGGTCCGAGGAGCCCAGTGCGGGCTGCGCCTCTGTACCCCCTGCGGGTCGAGTCTCCGGTCTGGATGCGCCGCCGATCACCACCAGAGTAACACCGGAGCCTCCCGACTTGTCTTTAATGTTCAAGAACCGAAACAGGGTCGCAAATGAGACTTCGGACAGCTTGATTATCCTATCAGAACTGCTGGTGCGAGCCTGGAAATATGTGTGTGGGCAGTTCTGCGACTACAGCCGCGGTAGGACGGTGTCCGAGTGGCGGCGGTGTAGAACTCCGGTGTAGACTCTTCTCTGCGGCCCGGGAGAGATCCGTCTCAGTTTCGTGTCTGGTTGTCAGGCAGAGCCCCAGCTGGGGTTGGAATGAGGGAAGTGTGCTTCAGTGTAACCCCGGACAGCACCCCGAGAGCAGAGCGTACCTAACCCAGCCTGTGCCCTTCCTCTCTCCTCTCTCCTCTCCAGGGATGTCCTGGTCTTCAGACAGCGAGAGCCAGACCTCCAAGCTTGTGAGGAAGTCCAGGGACGCGCCTTTCGTCCCCATCGGTGAGACAGAGCAAGGCCTGGTCCTGTGTGTGTTCAGGGAGGGTGTCTCTGGTCCTGCGGTGCTCTGTGTGTGTTCAGGGAGGGTGTCTCTGGT